CCTCAAAAAGCCTTTTGTGCTTCTTTGTAATAAGTATGCAGCATCACTGCTTGGTGCTGGCAACCACAGATCTGCTTTCTGGTTTTTTGGCTTAGATTTGCCTTTGCCTAGGGTTTCATGTAAATGGAATCACACAGCATGGATTTTTTGTGCTTGAAATCTTTTCTCAGCATGTGTTTGAGATTCATACATACCTTGCTATGTATTCTTTTTATTGCTGAGTAGTATTTCATTGTGTTTTATGTACCATGATTTGTTTAGTTATTACTTAAAATGTGCAGTTTTAATTTAAAAATTAAATTAAACTTCAGAAAATCATTGTTTCCTATATTTCATTCCGTTTTCCAGTTGTTTATGGTAGCCCTGCTAATGCATCATGTCTCTCTTTGAGTGTTTTGTAAAAGCTCTCCATTCTTGTGTATTAAGCTTTCTGTGTTTTCCATATTAAGGTGTGCTTCTATTTGTTACCAATTCTCTACTGTTAGTGAACATTTGTGGAGAGTTCTTTTTATGCATACTCATTTTCATGTATCTCAGGTAAGTAACAAGGTACAAAATTGCTGGGCCGTATGGTAATGGCTAATTTGTTTTCCAAAGTGCCTGTACCGTGTTACATTCCAATCTGCAATGAAGTGGGCGTTCCAGTAACTCCAGATCCTCTCTAACACCTGACATTGCCAGTTTAAAAAGTTGAGCCATTTTAGATAGTGTAAGGCGGTGTCACGTTGGAATTTTAACTTGTGTTTCCCTGCTGACTAATTGTGGAGCCCCTTTTCATCTATTCCCTGCCCACTGATGTTTCTGTACTCCTTTGTGAATTTTCTGATCAAACCTTGACTGTGTGTGTGGGGAGAGAAGGGTCATTTTTGGTCTCAGTTCAGTCCCATAATCACTGTTTTATCGGCATTATGCTTATTCCATAATCTCTAAATTTCACACTTGTTTCTGTTTTACTTTTGTTTCTATTCAGATTTGTAGGTGAGATTTTTGTGTTTTTTTGTTGCATCTAGTAATTTCATGGTAGATGCTAGATGTTATAAGTTGCTTTATTTTTGTTTTGTTCATTTTTTTTAAATGGGTACTAGATTTTCATGTCTTTTAAAGAATTTTATTCTTTTTTTCCTAACTACCAATTAAGTTACTTGCTAATCAGCTTCATTCTTTGAGTCTTATTTCACTTTTTTTTTTTTTTTTTTTTTAATTTGAAAGACATGAGGGAGCTGAGGAGGGGGATTATAGAGAGAGGGCTATCTAGCTTCTGGTTCACTCCCCAAATGCTTGCAAAAGCTGGGGCTGGGTTGGGGCTGAAGGCAGGAGCCCGAACACCACCCAGGGACCCAGCTACTAGAGCCATCATCTTCTGCCTACCAGAGTGCACATTCACAGGAAGCTGGAAACAGAAGCAAAGCCAGGGCTTGACTTGAACTCATTCAGCCCTGTGTTCTGAAATTCAGACTGGCAGCTTAAGCTCTAGCCAGATGCCTGCCCCCAGGAGCTTGTGTTGAAGCTTGTTAGTTCTGGCTCACAGTGTCCTTTCAGCCCTATTACTAAGGTGTAACCTTGCTGTAGTCTCCACTGAATTCCCCAGATGTTCACTGTGGCTCCTGCCCTCTGGCTAGCCATAAGTTGAACCTGTCACGGCCGTGTGTGAATTAGGGGACTTTAACTGCCTATGAATCCCAGTTGTACTTTGCCTGGACTTGGGCATTATACCCTTTATACTTGTGCATCTTAACATTCACTCACAGACTTGCTATAATCCCTGTGCAAATTTCTGGAATGTTTCTAGTCTCTGGAACTTCTGCAATCCCACCTGTCAGGACCTTCCTGAAATCTACCTCCCCACTCTCCCCAAATCAGCAGGACCTCCATTCTCTGCTTGGCTTCTCCCTCTTTGCACTGATGTCCAAAACATGTCTTCAAGTGGAAGTGTGCAGTAATCAGTTGTAGAGGTCATTTCCCTTCTTTCAGAGTTCACAGCCCTGTACTGCCTGTTGTCCAACTTCAGAAAATCATTGTTTCCTATATTTCATTCCATTTTCCAGTTGTTTACGGTAGCCTTGTTAATGCATCGTGTCTCTCTTTGAGTGTTTTGTAAAAGCTCTCCATTCTTGTGTATTAGCTTTCTGTATTTTCCATATTAAGGCGTGCTTCTATTTGTTACAGTTCTCTACTGTTTTATTTGGTATTAGGGTTAGATCACACTCAGTCATGTTCAATATTCTGCTGGAGACAGGATTTTATGTCGTCATGCCATCAGTTTACTCCCTTCATTATTTTATTTGTTTTATTATTGAATACAATATATCAAAGTATGTAGATTGAAATGTGTAGTTGAATAAATATTTTTAAAGTGAATAACCATGTAATTCTGGCAAGTGAAGGAAACAGAACATTATTAGGACAAAAGAAGCCTTCTTGTTTTTCCCAAATCTTTTATTTAAGGAATATGAATTTCATAAATACAGCTTTAGGAATACAATGATTCTTCCCACCATACCCTTCCACCCTTATCCCCACCCCTCTTCCACTTCCCTCTCCCATTCCCAGTCCCATTCTCCATTAAGATTCATTTTCAATCAACTTTGTACACAGAAGTCCAACTCTGTTCTAAGTAAAGATTTCAGCAGTTTGCATGTGTGTGTGTGTGCGCACACACACACACACACACACACACACTGAGAACAAATTTTACAGTTAAGTCTCATAATACAACTCATTGAGGACAGAGGTCCTGCATGGGAAGTTAGTGCATAGTGACTCCTGTTGTTAATTTAACAATTAACACTCTCATATATGACTTCAGAGACCACCTGAGGCTCTTGACATGAGCTGCCTAGGCTATGGAAGCCTTTTGAATCCACAGTCTCCTTAGGTATTTAGACAGGGCCATAAGCAATGTGGAAGTTCTCTCCTCCCTTCAGAGAAAAGTACATCTTTCTTTCATGACCACTTCTTTCTGCTGGGTCTCACTCAAAGAGATCCTTCATGTGCAACATTCTTTGCCACAGTATCTTGACTTTTCATAGCTGAAATGCTCTTGTGGGCTTTTCAGCCAGATTGTGATACCTTAAGGGCTGATTCTGAGGTCAGAGTGTTACTTAAAGCAATTGTCAATCTATGAGTCTGCTGTGTGGACTGCTTCCCATGTTGGAACATTTTCTCCTATTTAATTTTATATATTTTACTAGTACCAGACACTTGATCCTATTTATATTATCACTTTAACACTTAATCCTATTATATGTTCACTTTAACACTTAATATGATCATTTTAATGCTTAAGATGGTATTTTTACCACCCAGCCTAATGGAATTTGGGGTCCCATGACAAGTAACTATACACTATACACTTAGAAGTAAGTCCATAGGAATGTATGAAGAACTATACAGCAAAAGAAACCTTCTTAACGTGCTCTTTTCCAAGTCACAGCCTTTTCTCTGGAAGAGAACCACTCTCCTGTGCTTCACAGTGGAGGGTCTGATGTGTGTATGTCCATGTCTCTTTATCAGCCCACATTAACTTTCTTGCAGATTCACACACTGTCCGTTCTGCTGTAAACACCATTGTGCCCCACTGCTGGGCACCGGTGCACTGCAGCTCCGAGGCCTACCATATGGCAAACAAATTTGTTGTTGTTTTCTAAGAAAATAGTGATCTGTATCCTTTTGTTTTTGTTTTCTTTGTGTTTCTTTTCTTTTTTTTTTTCTTTTTTTTTTTTTTTTTGACAGGCAGAGGGGACAGTGAGAGAGACAGAGAGAAAGGTCTTCCTTTGCTGTTGGTTCACCCTCCAATGGCCACTGCGGCCGGCGCGCTGCGGCCGGAGCACCGCGCTGATCTGATGGCAGGAGCCAGGTGCTTCTCCTGGTCTCCCATGGGGTGCAGGGCCCAAGGACTTGGGCCATCCTCCACTGCACTCCCTGGCCACAGCAGAGAGCTGGCCTGGAAGAGGGGCAACCGGGACAGAATCTGGCGCCCCGACCGGACTAGAACCTGGTGTGCCGGCGCAGCAAGGTGGAGGATTAGCCTAGTGAGCCGCGACGCCGGCCTTCTTTGTGTTTCATGGCTTCTACTGTAGCTTCATCACACAGTGAAGAATGAAGAGGGCAGGAAGTGCAATGGAGGGCGGAGTCTGAGGCTGACTGGCAGATGCCATGACAGGAGCAGCTTTGTGGAGGGGCAGCCTGTAAGCTTTGTTGCGGAGCAGTGTGTCCCACGCTTGGCTGTTCATTGCAGTCACTCATAGAGGTTTTAAAGCTACTGGTGCCTGGGCTCCTCGTGCAGAGATTCTAGTTGGTCTGGGCATTTTACATGGTGTGTAGGTAACACTAGTGTACAGAAATGCAGACTCAAGAGCTTATTCCTTAGAGTAGAGGATTCTCCTTAAATTAGATCGGAGTTGGGTTTTCCCCCTCTTTGCTTATTTTTGAATTTCTCAACTACCATAGATGAAGTGATGATTTTGTAAAATGCAATTAGAAATAAATTACTAGAAAAATGAAAAACCAGAAGCAAACACAAAATATAAAGCCAATATTGTTAAATTGAATAGGTGTACATTAACTGAATGCAGTTGCTTTTCCATAGTTATATGTTTCGGAAACATGAAACTGAGTCTGTGTGCTGTTGCTGGTCTGCAAAGCACAGCAGCCATGTATCAAGTGAATGGAGACATGTACCATGGGTTGGGTTCAGATCGTATAAACTTGGAATGCTTTCATTCTGTAGGCATTGGGGAGCCCAGGAATCCTGGAAAGGAATGATCTGATTTGAGCATTGTGTGCAGTGGATTGACAGTGTGAATAAATTGTTGGCAAGGGCCTGAAAGTGGGAGGGTAGTCGAATTTCTAGAGAAGTCACTCTAGAAATGCTAGCAAATCTCTTCAGAGGATACAAGAATCTAGGCTTGCTACTCTCTAAGGCTTAAATACTCCCCAAGACATAGTTAGTGTCAACAATAAACGCACAAGGGAAAATATATTCTCTGTTAAATTTGCAGAAACCACACAGATAGAAGATCCAAGAAAGCAATGGAGAGGGGAGCAGGAGAAGATGCTCAAGGACTATCTCTCAGTGGCTCAGGATGCACTCAGGACGCAGAAGGAGCTGTACCAGGTGAAGGAGCAGAGACTGGCTTTGGCCCTGGATGAATATGTACGATTAAATGATGCCTATAAGGAAAAGTCAAGTTCTCGCACAAGCCGTAAGTACACTGCCTGCTCAGAATTCTGAAATGGAGACTGAACGTTAGTAGAAGGCCACTTGCATTTCTGTGGGATTGAAATGTGAGTCTTTTTCCGTCCTAGGCAGGATGAGTCCCTCAAAGCCGAGAGAGAGGTGAGGGCACCCTGTAGATTCCTCAGTCAAAACCCTCAGCCCCATCCCAGATGAAAATTTTCTCCCCTTGAGGATAATACACACCTTCTGTTTCTGCTCCTCATTCTGCCTGAAGGCCTTTTAGTCATTTTTGAGTTAGTTTGTACCTTTTCAGAATGAGGCGAGTCATTTGGCCCTTTTGCTATTGTGGTATAATAGCTTTAGTGGGAAGGAAGTGGGACTGTTATCTAGAATGAAATTTCCTTTGACCACCTGAGTAAAATTCTTCCTTGTCTCATAAATTAATCATCTAGAACTGTCCTCATGTAAAGAAGCACCCACCATAGGCTCAGAATTTCCACGTACATTGTGAGTTTTAGGAACTGCAGGGCTCTGGTAAGATACGTGTGCAGTGTAGTCCCCTGTGTACTTGGTATGTGTAAATCCCAGGAGAAAATTAAACTTTTTTTCCTGAACTTTAAACAAAATTGTAGAGGGAAGGCTGAAGACTACTTTATTTATATTTCGGTATCTGATGCATTGACAGTAAAGGAAGCATAAGGATAAAATAATATCCCAGAAGCACAGATACCTTGTTTTTAGATGAGTGAACTCTAATCTAAGAACTAGTTATACAATTTGTAAATAATTTTTTCTTTTTCAAAAGTATTTTCAGGATCTTCATCCAGTACTAAATATGATCCTGATATTTTGAAAGCTGAGATCTCCACCACGCGATTAAGGGTAAGATTTTTAAGTTATGGTTGCACATTGAACACAGGCATAGAATCTGAAAGCGACAGGAGGGCAGTTGCCAATGGTCTCCCATCTTTGCTCAGCGTAGGCTGCTCCTCCACTTTCCTCTGCCTTTTTTGGAATGCTGTCAGCATTTGTAACTATTTCTGAGACACCAGCATGTGTTCCAGTGTTAGGCAGTTGTTTGATCTTGATAACCTATGTTTCCTCGCTGTGCCACGTGTTGCCCTTCAGAGTCGGGCCAGGTGGCTCTCTCATCAGACAGCCTAGCACTGAGAGGTGTGCACAGCCAGTGTGCCTCTGCATTACCTCCCTGGATCAGAGGATCAGACTTCATGAATTCCTCAAGCAAGTAATCCCTCATGCAGAATCGTTTTCTGATCTTTGCCTTATATCTTTTTGAACAAACAGCTGGTAAGGCCAGAGCTTTGTTTATCCCCAAGTTTTGGAGTCTTAGACTGTTTACCAAGGATGTAAAATCATGTAACCACTACCCAGCGCGTCCACCATGTCCCTTCACCAACTCTGCCTTTCTCCCTGAAGGTGCTGAGAGCCTTGTTAACTCTCTCGGGTAACTTCTGCCCGCTTTGAACTTTGTAAAGCTGGAATGCTACCATCTGTATGATTTGATAACTTCTGTTATACGACAGCATTTCGCAGATCACCCACATTCACTTTGATTGCTCTATATTATTCCAGTTTTGTATACACAAATTCTGTACCCCTCTACTGTTGATATCCTTAGAGTTATACCAGTTTTTCCTTATTAAAATTTATGCCTTAATGTACAAGTCTAATAGACTTGTCTCTAAATCTTCAAATATGAGATATCTTGGAAAAGTTTATGGAAAATGTGTATTATGAAAAAGCTATGCATGGATTTCCAAAGATTTTTGCACCAAGTAAACATCTTTTAATTTCATTTCTGTGAACTTTTTGATGTAATGCTTGTAGATGTTGTTTGGTTTTTTCCAACTTTTGTGTTATTCTCAGAAAAAGTATGAAAAAAGTTTGTCTATACTTACTGTACGCAAAACTTCTCTTTTATTTGCATTTCTTGGTTTCATTCATGAAGTCATTGATAGGCTTTTTCTGAATCATTCTACATTGAATATCCCTCCCGGGCCTTGAGGACCCTTCAGTCTGTCAGTCCGTTCACATTTCTGTGTATGTTTGTTAAGAATGCCATGATTGGTTGTCAGGTGCCTTGGTACTCTGCATACTGTGTCTGTACATTTTTGTGATCTAGTAGGCTGGAGACTATCTTAAAGAAAAAAAAAAAGGAATGAATGCATTTCCTTCCCAATAAACCCCAGTACTCACCTGAGCTGTGCACTTCTCAGGCTCGGGAAGTTATTACTTAGTAGTACTTCCCTTTGAAATTTTAATTATTTCACAGTTCTTATCTTTTTGAATGGAATAGCCACAATAAGCTATCTCAGGCTCTCCTTTTACATCCCTTGTAAAAAATAAGAAAACTGCGGGAGGAATTTAAAAACAAAAACATGTCAGACTGTCATATGAATAGGCATTTACAGAAAGGGAGCCCTTCACAGTGCCCCAGATCATAGGCGCCTACGGGAGTCACATTTCCCATGACTTCCTCTAACGCCACAGGACCTCGGGGAGAAAGCCTCTGCCGGTTTTCGTTTGGTCTCAGTTGTGAGAGGTCTGGTGTGTGTGTGTGTGTGTGTATGTGTATGTGTGTATGTATTTCTTCACTGTGCCACAGACCGGAGCCAGAGGTGCCCTCTCCAGGGAGTTGGCTTCCCTGAGGAAGCCGGCAGTAGACAGTCGTCCCTCAGTCTCCATGTGGAGTCAGGCCCAGGGCCTGCCTCAAATCCCAGAATCCTCGAGGCAATTAAGTATCTTCATGTAACCTGCATAAATCCTGCATGCTTTCTCTCTGGGTTACATTGTAGTGTTTAGGAAATCATGGCAAGAAAAAAGCCTGTCTGTGTTTAATATGGATGTGGGTTTTTTTTTTCCTGATTTTTAAAACATTTTTCTTTATTTTTATTTGAAAGGCAGGGACTGGGGTGTAGCAGGGGTAGGGGGATGGAGACAGATACAGCTCCTATATACTGATTCAGTTCCCAAAGGCCTGCAGTGGCCAGGGCTGGGCGAGGCTGAAACCAGGAGCTGAGCATTCACTGCAAGTCTCCCAAATTGCTGACAGGAACTGAACTACTGGGACCATCGCCGCTGCCTCCCAGCTTCTGCACTGGCAGGAAGCTAGGGTTGGGAGTAGAGCTGAGATTGTAAGCTGGGCACTCTGATATGGAATACCAGCATCACAACTGGCAGTTCATCTGCTGGGCCAAACACCTGCCCACCCCTGAAAAAGAATTTCTTTATTCACAGTTGTTCACAGGTCTATGGATTCAGAACCCTCACATGTGGAGGGCCAACTGTAGAAGACATTTATAAATAACTACAATAAAAAGCTCAAATGTGACTTTCTCTTCCCCTCCTTCATTCGTGCCTAGGTGCTTATTTAAAACTTCCTAGCAGTGTAAATATCTTTTGAGAAATCCCCCCTTAACAGATTGGCCCTGGTGGTCTGTGTTGTTCTTGTGATGTTTGAGCTGTGTCAGGGTGTGATCCCTTTGGCACAAGTGAATGCACTCTGTCTGCTATTTGTGCACATTTGTGCCAGGTGGCACTTCCACAGTGCTCTAGCCATTCAGAGGTAGATGGATAACCTGGCAGTGTTTCTTGGATTTTGATAACCTGGTCTTTGCTCGCCTATGCTATTAAAAGCCCTGTATGTACAATTCCTTTTCATAAATTAATACCACAGGAATAGTAGTTCACAAATGAACTGACTTTTATTAGTTTGAAGTCTTCTATACTTGCTTGTCTGTCAGTAATAGTTTTTAAGGTCTAGTAATTTGATGCAACAATATAAAGCAGGTGCGTACCATTTATTTTATTGAAATAGAGGCAATAGGTCGGCTATTTAGGAACTGTGTGTTCAGGAACATCTGTCTACCACCTCTGGTTCCTATTATTTTCCCTTGTGCTCAAAGGTGTAGGTAATCATTGGGCTTCAGTGTTCTCCTCAGTCAAATGGGATGACAGTCTTTTCTGATTGCTAAAATGGTGAAATCGATGAATTAATGCTTTTTATTAAGATACTCATACCTTTTAAATGTGGTACTTAATTGCTTGAGAAAAATCTGTATTTTGGGGAGAAGAATGTAAAGATTTTTATTTCAAAATTCTTATCCTATTTATTCATAGCATATTTACTTGTGCAGATAGAATATCTCACACAAAGTAAACTTTAAGTTCAACTGCCATTTAAAATCTGTGCTTATTCCAAACAGGATATATTTAGTGAGAATTTGGTAGGGAAAATTTTTTATGCATTTTTACTATTATTTATTAAACTGAAATAGAACATTGCAAGAGTAAAAGAAAATCTTTGGAAGCACAAATGCATTTGAGAAGTTTATTGAGCTCCGGATCATACAGTCTGAAAGAGGAAACAAAGGCCTCTTTGGTTAAATTATTTGTATTCTACTCCAAATAAATTGCTGGTAAATAGGTGCTATTATTAAATGTTACAGGGTACTACTGCTGTCTTTTGTTTTCCGTATATACTCTAAGCACACTTTTAGTATGGATTCATTTTGAATTATTCTTAGCACTGCTGATGAATTTAGAAAATTCATCCACAATTTCACTCATTTGGAGTCTCGAGCATTGATTTTAGAGAATGGTAGTTGAATTTAAGGTTTCCTTTACAGCTATGAATAGAGTTGCAGTAATTGATGTGCACATCAAAATAGACGTTTGAACCAGTAATCTAACTACTATTTCAAAACTCATAGCTGTGTGCTTCCAATGAAAAGAAATATGCCTTCTGAAAATATAACTGCTACAAAGAGTGGTTGTCTCTCGACTAGACATGAGAGCTAACTTTATACATGTACTTTATTTAAAGTGAGCTAACATTTTGAGTTCTTCTAGCTGTCACTTAACCTTATTTCACTGTGTTGAAGGAGATAGAGCAATTCTCTTTTCTAACACCAAAATGTACAGTAGACTGGGTCACTCTTCTTTTAGCATGTTTGGAAATGAATTTGTATCGTAGTTAGTGTCGTGTTTAAAAAAAAAAATAGTGCAGTAATGACTGTCATTGTGGCTCAGTGGGTTAAGCCCTTGCTTGCATGCCAGCATCCTATATCAGAGTGCCAGTTCAAGTCCTGGCTGCTCCGCTCTGACCAAGCTCCTTGCCAATGCTCCTTGAAAAGCAGTGGAAAATGACCTGCATCCCACAGAGGTCCAGACTCCTGATTGTGACCTGTCCCAGCACTGGTCATTACAGCCATTTGGGGAGTGAATCAGCAGATGGAAGATCTCTTTCTCTGTCACTCTGCCTTTCAGATAAATTAAATAAATAAATCTTTAAAAAATAAAATAATACAATAAACTGAATATTTGAAGAAATTAAGAATGTGACTTGACACATTTACCGAAGAAAGCAAGACTTAAAGAAAATGAGAAATGAATACTATAATACAAGATCAATGTTATCTCTATGGTGACATGCAGAAATTCATAGCACAGTAGGGGCTTTTTTTTTTAAAAAAAAACACACTTGGATTTTGAATAGAGTAAAACTATAACATTTAATCACATTGATTGATTTCATGATGTTTTATTTCTTTTGAAAGACTTTGGTATCCTTTCTAACTTTGAAGGGTACCATACTGCAGGTTAAGCAGTATGTACTTAACGATAAATCCTTGGGACAGCTGTTATGGCATAGCAGGTTAAGCCTCTGCCTGCAATGCTGGCATCCCATATGCACTGTGGTTCAGGACCCCCCCTGCTCCACTTCCTGATCCAGCTCCCTGTTAATTCACCTGAGAAAGCAGCAGAGTATAACCCAGTTACCTTGGGCGGCTGTACCCACGTGGGAAACTGGAAGAGAAACTCCTGTATCCTGACTTCAGCCTGGCCCAGCCCTGGCTGTTGCGGCCATTTGCGTAGTAAACTAGCAGATGGAGGATCTCCCCCCCCCCCCCCGCCCCCAATCTCTTCTACTCTGTCTGTAACTCTGCCTTTCAAATCAATTAAAAATAAATCTTTTTAAAAAATTCCTTCATTGACACTGTGTTGTTTTGGAGGAAATATTTAATTTCTCCTCTTTACATATCTATCTACCTCTCCATTTTCATTCTTTTATTTTTTTAAGATTTATTTATTTATTTTGAAAGAGTTACAGAGAGGAGAGACAGAGAGAAATCTTCCCTCTGCTCATTCACTCCCCAGATGGCTGCAGGGATCAGGGCTGAGCCAGGCCAGAGCCAGTAGCCAGGAGCTTCATCCAGGTCTCCCACATGGGTGCAGAGGCCCAAACACTTGGGCCATCCTCTGCTGTTTTCCCAGGCCATAAGCAGGGAGCTGGATAGGAAGTAGAACAGCCAGGACTGGAATCGGTGCCCATATGGGATGCCGGCATCACAAGCCATGGCTTTACCCACTATACTACAATGTCAGCCCCCTGCATTTTAATTCTTTAAAATCCTTATATCTATCAGGCCATGGCATTTTATAAAATTAAATGCAGTTCACTTCTCCTAGTAGAAAATTTACTACCTGAGCACAAAAATTGACAGAAAAGTAATTGTTCTTTAATGATTGATTTCAAATGATCCTATAAAAGTCTACAAAGTTAATTCCCTCACTTTTTGAATGCTGTGGGAGTTAAGATTTGCAGAACTGTATGAGATAAAACATATATATATATATATATATATATATATATATGAAAACCAGCACTTCCCTGTTCTTCTGTACTTTTCCTTGACCTGTGTGTAGTACGTTGACCTAACATGTTCTGATTAAATTTTGAGAGAATCCATCTCCCGAGGCCAAGACAGCGAGGCACTGGGAGTATGAAATTCCTATTTATAGTTTATATATTCTGCAATCATTAGTATCTTTGTGAATGTATTTATTTCCTGAGTTGAGGCTGGTAGACATAATTCTATCAGCATCTGGTTAGTCACAGATCTTAGCGAACTGCTTCAAGATGTCAAGGAGCAGGATTGTGTGGTTTGAGTCTAGTCAACTGGATAGCAGTTTCTGATGTTGCACCATTAGCAAGAGGGGTGTATTGATGATATAGCTTCAGCAGGGAGCTGTTTTGCCTAATTTTCAGGCTGTTGAAATTATGTGAATATTTTTTTAAAACAGCCGGCTGATTTCTGTTTTTGCCCATGAAGATTTAACTACTACAGGAATTGA